TCTCTCTCTCTCTCTCTCTCTCTCTCTCTCTCTCTCTCTCTCTTCTCTCTCTCTCTCTCTCTCTCTCTCTCGCTTATCCTCCACTCGCTTTGATCACTGCCACGTACATATGTGGATGTACGTACATTTCGTATTTTATTACAATTGCGTACAAATATTTAAATTTAGTCTCGTTTGTACAAACACTACATTATTGATCGACGTTGTGATTGACATTTTTAAGAAACGTTAATAAATTTTTAATTCCGATTTCATTAAAATATCAGAAAGCGAATGACGGTGTATTTGTACGAAAACTTTTCCTCTCTAATTTACGTCAAAAAAATCGATACTAGCGAAAATACTAGTCGGTCGGCGCGTTTTTGTGAGAAAAGTCTTTGAAATAACAAAAGCTCTTGAAATAAAATATATAATGCACGTGTTGAGTAAGCATATGTTGAATTATAGAAATCTGTAGAAAAGCGACAGCTTTCGATACTCTCTATACGAGATCACAGCCGTTTTCGTTGGGAGGCAGACGGAACGGTACGGGTATGGCAAGGCAGAGAAATTTTCTCGTCTCGGCAATCTTGAAAAATTGATGCCTCGCGACTAGGCTTTATCGCAGTAACGGGCAACTAAACGTACCATTTTATTGGATCCTCGTGCTCGGATATGCTGCGAATACCGAGCGAGATCGAGACGCTCTTGGTATCCCCGTGCGTGAATCTCAATCGCGGAACCGCCGTGGCGAAACAAAATAGGTTTCCCGTCTGCCGTCTATAACTCGCCGGTTCACGGAGATTCGCTCGACCGACACAAAATCCCGTGATACCAAAAGTTCGAGACACAACATTGTCCAACAACAAACATGGCGAGATTGTTGATCCGTGTTTGCTCCTTCAAACGTGTACTGGCATGCGTAGTTATAATATGTGCAGCATCCGGTCCATAGTTATGCGGAGTGCCACGTGGTCTAACGTCGCCACGAAATTCGAAGGTTCTTTTTGCGCAAACACAAAACGGGCTGTTTAGACGGAAGTTTGTTTACGGATGTTTCGTTGCACACAGGTTACAAGTTAGTTGCGCAAGCATGAGCGATTAATAATCCAACTCTCGAATCACTCGACTCGAACTTTTGAATAAGTTTTTTTTTTTTATCACGCGGTCGAATATATCCGAGTTATAAAATCGGTAGCTTATTGCAGTTAACCGGCGCGATTCATCGTCGGTTTTGTTGTTCGACCTGCCGGTCAAACTGCAACACGAAACGTACATCACAGTGTTCAAATAACATCCTGTAATTTCCACAAAAATGTACAAAGCGTGGACAAAACGCGACGTTCTCGTTACTTTAACCCCCACACCTCACGTAATCGGGGAACATTGCTAGTTGCAAGCGTGAAACAAGCGACGCGACTGGAAAAAAGAGCGGGTCGAGCGGGTAGAGTGAGGTCATTTCAAAATGAAAACCCTAGGCTGAAACGCGAGATGCCGGTGATATAAGTAGAAAAAGCTTTAGTCATCGCCAGCCAAACGAAACGGTTTGGGACTTGAATTCGAGATAGACATCACCATTCAACGTGGTGAACGTATATATAT